GGCTGGCTGGACAAGAACAAGGACCCCCTGAATGAGACGGTGGTCGGGCTGTACCAGAAGTCTGGCCTAAAAACCCTGGCTTACCTCTTCTCGGGGGCACAAACTGCTGAAGCAGGTATGTTAGCATCCATCTCCTCCAAGAATCATACACACACAAATAAATTTCTGGTTATCATAGACAGAATACAGGTATAGAAAATCTAATAATAAGAATACCGACCTATATAGGAGTAATGAAAGGAAGTCTATTTAATAAGTGTGGCATAGTCCTAAAATGATCAACTTTTGGAACAAAATTAATGCTATGGATTGATTTGTCTTATTTCACCAGTCAAGAAGGAGAAATGCAGGATTGTGGAATCCATTAGTATTTTTTTTTTAATAGTTCTTGCTTCTTCAAGGAAAGGAAGGAGTTCTATGTCAGGGCAGTAGTGCTTGAGGAACCGGAAGCTCGGTTTTCTTAAATAGACCAGACTAGGAAATGAGACCTGCCCGAGACTCTCACCTACCTGACCCACAAACATCCAACTCTGCCTTGTTCTCTGGGATGGTGTGTGTGTGTGTGTGTGTGTGTGTGTGTGTGTGCGCGCACCACGGAAGCATTGTAGTTCTGGCCCTGGTCAGTCCTGCATTGGAATAGATATCACCAGTGTAGAGTGGGACAATCCCATTGACGCTCTACACATACAGATCCACCTCGGTCACTCACAGCCCACTCCCCCAAGTGTCTGCAGTGGATGCAGGAGCTTGTATTTTATTTTCCACTTTGCTTTGTATTTATTTTCTTGTAATTGAGATTCTACAACGAAGCATCCAGCAATTTAACAGTTTCTACATGTCCAATTTAGGGACATTGATGGTATTCTTTGAGTTATGCAGCCATTCTCCCCTCCTTCTCTGAGTTATTCCTCCCTCGGTAATCTATGTAAAATACTCCCTAATATTATTAGTTGCTGTTATCAATGCAGTCCCATATGGATGGCTCTTAAAAGAGCATCATAACAAGGCATGTGTTACCAGTTATGCTGAACTATTACTTGGTCTTAAGAAGACTTCAGAAGATAGTTTTGGCTTAAGGTTAAAGATAATCTCAGGACAGTAGACCTAGGGGTTTCTCCACCATCTCCTAAAAGCACGGACTCCATAGTAACGTGAAATTGTGTTCTGCATTTCCCCCAGTCTGACTAGGATTCTTTTATAAAATCTTTGGACGTAGTGCTCAATCATGGGTCTTGTGAAAAAAGCAGGCAGTTGTCAAGGAGGAAATGAGTCACACCTTTCAGACCCACCCCCCTTGTTCCTGACACCCCCATTTGCACACTGTGAAGACCCCAGGCACAATGAAATGCATTGAGAAATAAAACAGAGAACTCATAATCTGTAGTCGGAAGAGGAAAGACATATAAAGAAGGATAAAGGTGCTGTACGCGGATTAGTGCAAGCTTAAATTGCAAAGAGAATCCAGCCAATCCTCACATGTATGGGTAGGGCTTAAAAAGCTGTTGCCATTCATCTTCCTTTTCCTGTTTGATTTTTCAGAGGCTGGTGG